CCATTACTACAGACTCACGATCCGATATAACGTCTGTTACATACGTGCATAATTATTGATCAAATGCAAGTGGGCCATTTGCCAAATTTTATATAAAAAGTCAATTTTTATTAATGCACCGATTTTTAATAATAATTCGTGATGTAGCTGAATTATTAGCTTTAATATTTGTTGAAAGTGCAGGTCGAATGAAATTTCAACATCCTTTTACGATCGTGAAGACTTACGAAAGGAATGTCTGACTACGATTGGTCTAATCTACTGCATACACGTTTCCTCAGTTCCTAACATATTTACGTGAACCTCCCTAAGGTAAGTGTCTCAATTTCTTACTTAATGGCATGTTTTTCTAGAAAGTCTTATTTTAGAATTATAAAAAAATAAGTAAGTGAGTAAAAATTGGAGACTGAAGAGAAATGAAATATTAACATATTTTGAGTATTTCTATAAAATTTTGTAATGTAAATTTTATATAAAATATTATTAATAGATGTCTGGTCTATTGGAGTTCCATTGAGATTTACAAGATTCTTACTATCGGCCAGATGTTAATTCCAATATCTCATCGGCAATTCACTTAGACGGCGTCCTTGAAACGGTGACTCCTCGCCCCCCTCGCAGCCACCGTCGTCGTCCCACCTGTTAAACTCGAAAGGGTTGTGTACCCTGCCCACTCATTTTGACATGCGTTCCGCGTCCCTCCGCTCCGAAGCGGCACGCGCGCGTTTCTTCCGTCAGTGTCGCTCGGCACCTCAGACGAGAGCGTTCCGCGAAGTACACGCGAGCCCTCCGCGACGGAGATCAGATACCCGAGTGATCAATCAGCTCATTCGCCCACGACAGTAATTTTCACGAAATCCTCATCATAAGAGTAAAAATAAAAATTCTTTTAAATCTCATCTCTGAACAGAAGTGTCTGTCAGTGGATCGACACGTTACGAATGATAAATTGATAGATTTATTAATCATTCATCGCATAAGTGGAAGTGAATTATTTAGTAGAAAGAGTTCGAAGTGCACGCGAAGTTCAGATGATCTCAGATCAACAAGTAGCTTGCACACAAAGAAAAAGGTGAAACAGTACATGAAGCTCGTTCTCCATTTAATATAAATTGACATCAATTATTAGGACTTTTTATGTATGAGTAACTGACTGACAATCGTGAGAGTATCGATGATCGATCTGATCATCGTATGTGGAGAACAAATTCGTATCAGCTTTAGGATTGTGAAATAAATCTCTCGTAAATCTCCTCGTATATCATTGTCAGTCCGAGGACGAAATGAACTACAACTTCTGGCAGAATCTCATCTCTAAACAAAGGGCGAGCTAAGCGACGAGTCTATCAATCGCAAACTGGATTACTGGTATCCTATGGGGATATAGGGCAGCGAGACAACAGTCAAACTTGTGGAAACTTGACAAAGAGCTTTATCGATCTGCGACTCGCGACTATCAGATCACAAAGACATTACACCGTGGCGCACATCTGGCAGGGTTAGATCCTATTACTGATACCCTGACGGATTTCGTGTTCTCTCGGGAGTGGGCGGATCACTCATTGTCTAAGGGCAAACACGGTTGTCCCGATGGCGGGAAAACGAGACGAGCCAGTCGAGGCAGACTTCCGGGTTCGGTTCGCCGGGGTCGAGACCGGATAAACGTTGCAAGGACATTTTCTATGGTGGTAGCCGCTGCTGCGGACTAGATTTGCACGCTGGCACTGGCGTCGATGCACTTCTGCGCGCGGATATTCGCGTGGGCATGGGATTTCATCGTCGGTAGCGCCGCTTATCCAATGCAGCACGTGAGTTTTTCTAGAATTCCTTATTCAAGTCTCATCGAACATCGATCATGATAGATTTGCAAATACACGTCTCGAGCAAGTGTTGAATTCTCATGGAAAATTCGAATGGTTCTTCAGATATTTATTGTAACAATTATAGCAAATTAACAATTGATATTTTATTTATGTTGCTAATATTAATACAATTAACGTTATAGAAAATTACAAAATTCTGTCATTGTTGCACTCATATTTTTCATAAATGGAATCAAAATCCACTCACTTTTTTTGACCTTA